CACACAAAAGCACACACACACACACACACACACATACACACACACACACACACACACACACACATGTATATATTCATGTATATATATTTGTGTGTGTGTATGTTAAGTCTGCAACTTGTAGATTTGCAAAAACTTAAACGAGTATCGAGCTTCCACATCGAGAGGAGGAATTCTGGCATATTTGATCGTACGGAAATTCTATGAAAGGGTTATATGTTTTTCGTGATGGAGAAAAAGTTTTCTTTCAATAAGTCTTCCAATATAACAGCTACAGAAATGAAGATAAATGAGTGATAATGATAATGATACTACTAATAATATGATGATAACAATAATGATAATGATGATAATATTAACAATAATATCAGTATTAATAATGATTATAATAATAACCGCAACAATAATAACTCAAATACGAACGGAAAATGATAAACCAATTAATAACAACCAATAACAATAACCCATAACAAATTAACAACACAAATGAAAAAAACAATAGAACCAGTATTCCCGTAATAACACCAATAACAATAACCCTTAGCATATAAAAAAAAAAAAAAAAAAAACAAGAAACATCTTCCCCGAAGCCAAACAGCGACGACTTCACGACCACCCCTCCCCCTGCCCCCCATCACCAGCTAGCGACGTTAAAACACGAAAATCGACCAACGACTTACTGTGAGCGATGACGACTGACTTCGCGGATGTCTTGGCCCCCTTGAGCTTGTAGCCGTGAGACATAACCACCGAGCTGTAGTCGATGGTCGCGTCCTCCTTCCACTGGGGTTGCAGCTCGGTGGACTCGTAGCCCACTGTTGGAAGGAGGGCGGGTGAGGGGGGGGGCAGGGGGTGGGAGTGTATCAGAGGCCAGAAGATACGTAAAGGTAGATAAAATGATTAGGAAAAGTGGATAAAAAGGTGGATTTTAGGAACCATGGGGAAGGGGAGGGTTTCAGGGTCAGAAATCGACGTAACGGTGGAGGAGGAAACGAGTGATCATTGAGAACAAAAATACAGGGGGATGTCGGGGCTTTTAAAGAGGCCGAGACGGAAATGGATAAAAGTTCAATACACTGATCAGTGCAAAAAATACAGGTGGATTTCATGGCTTTTCCATAGAATACCGGAAATAGGTAAATAAAAGTCAATAAACTGCTGAGTCATCACAACAGAAGGGTCTCATCTTTTTTTCCTAATAGACAACAACGGAAACAGATACAAAGGAAGATAATAAACAGCTGAAAAGTCTAAACAGGTGGATTTCATTGCTCTCAAAATAGGCAGAGATGAAGACAGAGAAAGGAGATATCAATCAACTACAAAATATATGGAATGTTTCTGAATACTCACAGCTATGTAATTTCAAGATGCACTTGTGACTGCCAAGAGGGTAGACTTGGAGGTCGAGGTGGCACGGGAACGAGTAACGGACCCTGACAGTCAGGAAAAAAGTATATATGATTAAACAAAGAAGCTCTAAGAGGCAGGAAGAAAAAGAAAATAAGATTAAACAAAGAGGCATTGACAGTCAGGAAAAAAGAAAAGATTAAACAAAGAGGCACTGAAAATACGGGAAAAAATAAGTACGTAAAGAAATAGACAAGGAGGTACTGGCAATAAAAAAAAATAGACAAGGAGGTAATGAGAGTCAGGAAAAAAAATATACAAAGACGTACTGAAAGGGAAAAAAATAAAGATGCCCTAAGTCAGGAAAAAAAAATAGACAAAGAGATATTGGCATGAAGAAAAGAAAAAAAAAATAGACAAAGAGGTGCTGACAGTCAGCAAAAAATAATTGAATAAAAAAATAAAACATATAATACTAATAATTATTATTACCACCATTATTGTTCTTTTTAAAAATATCTAGAAAAAAAGGAATTAAAAATGACGAAGAGATATTAATATTCGGGAAAAGTTGAACAAGAATAGAGAAAGAGGATATCTACATCGTAAAAGACGGGCAAGATGAAATTAAATTGTACTGCATCACTTTTTACGTGTACTTAAGATTCAAGTGATATGATTAATATAAATGAAATTGTCACTAATGAATTCCTGTCATTCTAGAACCAGACAAAATGAGGAAATAAGAGAAGGGAACAGAGGGGTGGATAAGAGAGTGAGGAAGGGAGGTAAAAAGACGGATATAAAGAAAGAGAATGAGAAAGATGGAGAGGAAAGGAGAGGGAGAGAGAAAGTAGGGAAAATGGAGAAAGATTTCCTTACTTCTTTATTTTTTTCTCTTTCTCTCTCTCTCTCTCTCTCTCTCTCTCTCTCTCTCTCTCTCTCTCTCTCTCTCTCTCTCTCTCTCTCTCTCTCTCTCTCTCTCTCTCTCTCTCTCTCTCTCCACTTATATATCACCACACATACAGACATAAATACATACCTACATTCATGAATAGATACAAACTTACACATACATACACACAATATATTTATATGTATGTGTATGTGCATATAAAACAACACATACACCCGCACAAACAAAATATCTACTCCCTTGCCTCTGTGTCCACACCACATGGCCGTCGTTCTTGATCCTGAGGAATTCGAGGTTCGAACTGGGTTCTCGCGCCTCCAGCTCCTTCCCCGCCACCAGGTCAGGTCGCCACACTTGCCTTAAGATGCTTGCGCCCGAGACGCCTGCAGGAAACGGTCATAGAAAACTTCGTCAGGAGAGAAGTTCAGGTTTTCGATTTTTTAACGAGTTACGAATATATTAGAAGGGAATGAAGTGAATGGATGGTTAGAATGAGAGGAATGGGAAAATAATAAAGTGAATGGGAGGTTAAAAAAGAAAAGATGAAAAAATGAACTGAATGGAGTATCAAAATAGGAAACAAAAACTAAATGGTAGGTTAAGATAGAAAAGATGACAATAAAATGAAAGGAAACTAAAATAGGAAATATATTTTTTTAATGACCTCAATAGAATATCAATAAAACAAGAAAGATTTACAAACTGCATAAAATCCAATTGGACTTTTCACCAGATTTATCCTAGACTGGAGAATCCAACTGGAAATTCCTTGAGGAGACAAAACCGCATTGAAGGTCGTAACGAGGACGAAAACAGTCCATTATAAAATCAAGAGCCCAATCTCTCTCTCTCTCTCCTCTCTCTCTCTCTCTCTCTCTCTCTCTCTCTCTCTCTCTCTCTCTCTCTCTCTCTCTCTCTCTCTCTCTCTCTCTCTCTCTCTGAAGTCTTGCAATTATAAACAATTATTTTTGAAAGACTTCTTGACGTGTTTTTCTCTCTCGTTCACTCTTTCTTGCTGTCTCGTTGCTTCTCTGCCTCTCCAGTTTCCTTTCTCTCAGTATATCCATGTATCTCTCTATCTATTTATCTGTCTCTCATGCTATAAACTTATCTATTTCTATCTATCGATCTATCTCTCTATTAGTCTGTTTCTCTCCTAATGTCTCTCCTCTCTCTCTCTCTCTCTCTCTCTCTCTCTCTCTCTCTCTCTCTCTCTCTCTCTCTCTCTCTCTCTCTCTCTCTTCTCTCTCTCTCTCTGTCTCTCTCTCTCTCTCTCTCTCTCTCTCTCTCTCTCTCTCTCATATCATATATATATATATATATATATATATATATATATATATATTATATATATAATATATATATTATATATATATATTTTTTTTTTTTTTTTTTTTTTTTTTTTTTTTTTTTTCATATTTATTTATCTACCTATCCATCTATTTATATATCTATTCTCTCTTCTCTCTCTCTCTCTCTCTCTCTATATATATATATATAATATATATATATATATATATATATATATATATATATATATATATATTTTTTTTTATCAATTTATTTATCTACCTATCTATCTATTTATTATATCTCTCTCTCTCTCCTCTCTCTCTCTCTCTCTCTCTCTCTCTCTCTCTCTCTCTCTCTCTCTCTCTCTCTCTCTCTCTCTCTCTCTCTCTCTCTCTCTCCTCCATCCCCTCTCCTTCATTCTTAGCCTCTTCCTATCTCATGTCTACGTATCTCCCCCTCTTCCCAACTGCCCCTTTTCTTCCCTTCATTTTTAAAAGCTTACAAGCCAGCTCAAAGAGCCATTAAAGAGCAATGCATCATTTCCCGCAAGATTTATTACATTTCTTATACTCGCTCTGAGGCAAACGGATTAAAAGAAAAAATGTATAAATCTACACACACATGCACGCATATGTGTGTATGTGGATTTATGAGCTTGTACATTATATATATGTGTATGTGTGCACAAATGTATACATATATATATGTGTGTGAGTGTGCACATATGTATCATGCATGTATATACGCCATACCATCATGAAACCAACATAGGATTTATTCCAGCACAGCAGTCTCTTACACCAGAGCCTTCGCCGAGACTGACCTGAGAGTTCCACGGACGGGAGGAAACTTGGTCCTTGGAACTGAAACTGAAGGTTTTGGTCGACCCATTCCTGCAGGAGTTCGCCCGAGATCCCTATCACCTGTGTTGTAAAGACTCAAAGGTTTATATCGATACGCTGACGGTTAGATACATATATAGGTTCATAGAAGATGATGAAGAATATATATATATATATATATATATATATATATATATATATATATTATAATATATATATATATATATTATGTATACATGTATGTATTACATATATGTGTACATATATATAGATATATATAAATATATATGTACATATATAATATATATCATATATATGTATATATATACATATATATCATATATATGTATATATATGTATATAATATATATATATATATATATATATATATATATATATATATATATATACATATATATACATATATATATATATATATATATATATATATATATATATATATATATATATATATATATATATATATATATGTGTGTGTGTGTGTGTGTGTGTGTGTGTGTTGTGTGTGTGTGTGTGTGCATACATATATGTATGCATGCACGAAATTTTTAAGGTGCATATATATGTACGTGTACATATATACATATATATAAATATATATGTATAACCTCAAATGATATACAGAAAGTAACACACACACACACACACACACACATATACAAACAAATACATCCGAGAGAAGCAAACCAACTGACCTGCTTCTTATCATCAACGTTGATGGAGTCGATGAAGAGTGTCACGTTGACGTATGTTGGACCTGAAGACAAACACAGCATAATTATTTGTCAAAGATAATATTTGCTTTTCATTGTACTGGGATTGGTAATGTCCATGTTATTGTACATGCTATAATAAAAACCTTTTACAATGGGGTAAAGGTGACAAAAAAAGGTGTAGATAAATTACACATTCATATTTATGGAATTTATATGTTAAGACTGAAGACATCTTTGCATACCATTATAAACCCGGTTGACAGATAAACAAATCTAATATAGGAACTTGAAATACTTTCTTGACAATGTTTTCTCTCATAATCTTATCTTATTAATGAAACGCAACAGAAAGTGTATGAAGAAGAAGACATCTTTTAACTTAGTTTCATGTTAAATGTTAATGCGCGACTTGATAATTGATCTATGGATAATACCTCTGGTCAAGGAATTATTTATACTACTTAGGCCTCACACTTTTCAATAGATAAATGTTTCTAGGTAGTCAAAAGACCACATGTTAATAAGTTACCCGTCTGTTGCTTTTAATAATTACTACAGATCATTTACGTTTTCGTCCAAAAAACGTATGTGTGTGTGTATGAATATGTATATATGTATGTATGTGTATATATATATATATATATATATATATATATATATATATATATATATATATATATTCCTTATTTATTAATTTGTTCTCTATTTCAAAGTCAAAAATCATTGCATATAACATACACGATTATACAGTATTCGATGTAATTGAGACATAATTTAGTGTGTAGGCTCTGTCAACAATCTAAAATAATCATAATGATAAATAAAAAGAAGAAGAAAAGAAAATGAAAGAAAAACGCGGGAAAGAATGAACTTTCGCGCCAAAAAAGAGCCACGCGCGACACCCAGTCAGCGACATGACAGGCAATCTCATTTTTCTGAGCCATGTCGTGCCAAAGCGAACGGGTCAGTCCGTGATGAAGATGTAACTTGTCAGCTTGAACGACGCCACGTCTTATAAAACCTCCAATGATAAATGTGCTACTTTCGTGTCCGCCAGTGAGCTGTAACTCTATCAAGTCACCAGTAGTTAAGTATAAATAATTATTGATGAGTAAATATTAGAGATGGAGGGTATATATAACATATGTTAAATAATATCACATATCACTTGGTGGTATCATATTTTTAAACATTACTGATCAATTTGAGACCCTTAGTTATTTTCCATCCTGGCGGACGAATATCAGCTGATATCTTTTAAAAAATGGCGCCCATTCACTCAAGTATTTCTGAATCACATAAACTGTAATTATTTATCATACATATATATATATATATATATATATATATATATATATATATATATAATATATGTGTGTGTGTGTGTGTGTTGTGTAGTTGTGTGTGTGTGTGTGTGTGTATGTATATATATATGATCTTTATTTATTTTATGTATTTATGCTACATAAATCCTCCCTTACTCAACAACTGAGAACAAATCAATTAATTTTTTTTTCTTTTTTCCAGACGGTCAACAAAACGGTGTTAAATGATATGGAACAGGAAATATAAACAACAGACAATTATGTCATCTAATCATACATGACCTTTGAATTCCATAGAAATATTTATCCTCTAGAGAATTTAAACTATAAACTATAAACAGTATAATTAAAATATCAAGTATAATATATTCTTCATCAATTATACTGGTATCCATTAATGCACAACAGTATTACCAGAACAATTACAAACTCGATACTTTTAAAACTGCGTCTTTCATGAGCTTATTGTATCATTATTACCAGCACACATTGATAATTTTATCTTATTATAAAGCTTATCATTACTATATTAATCTTCCTGTGTGAAAAATAATCATTATTGCTAATTTTTCACTGGCCTCCTCAATACATAACAGAACTCCCGTCTCTCTCTCTCTCTCTCTCTCTCTCTCTCTCTCTCTCTCTTCTCTCTCTCTCTCTCTCTCTTCTCTCTCTCTCTCTCTCTCTCTCTCTCTCTCTCTCTCTCTCTCTCTCTCTCTCTCTCTCTCTCTCTCTCTCTCTCTCTCTCTCTTCATTCATTTTCACTCACTCACTCACTCACTCATTCTCTCTCCCCTCTCCCTCTCCTATTCCTCCCCTCCCCCTCTCCCCCTCCTCCCCCTCCCCCCCCCCCCTCTCTCTTTTGTCTCCCTCTCCCTCTCTCAACCACACAACTCGCGACCCCATCCGACTACAAGCGTCTTGACCTGACCTGCCCTCACTTACCGGAGTGCGTGTTGGGTCGAAAGGCGCCGTCGTAGCTCTTGAGGTTCAGGATTTCCTCCAGAGGGATCTTGATGGCACTGGCACCTCCTCCTAGCCTGGAAAGGAAGCTGCAGTTAGCTACGTGTTTTTCTTTCTACTGCAGACATGTGTATATCTGGTCATACATACTTACATGCGTACTAATACATACGTACATACAATATATACATTGCATACATTCATATATACATACTGTACATACATACATATCTACATATCTACTTACATATATATCTACATATCTACTTACATAGATATATACACATCTACTTATCACATAGTCACATATCTACCTATCTACTTACATACATATACTAATCTACTTACATACATATCTACACATCTACTTACGCACATACCTGGTTACATACATATCTACATATTTACTTACATACATATCTACACATCTACTTACACACATACCTGGTTACATACATACACATATACATACATATAGACGCATGTATCTACAGTATAAGTGCGGAGACTGTATAAAATCTGAAAGGGTCTACCGGTCTTCAGTTTTTCTGGAGAGAATCACCTTATAACACAGGTTTCCTTCGTAATCGACTGTGTATTACGTGAAATACCATTATCATCGGACGAATAAAGGAGAATTGATAAATGAATGGATAAGTAAATGAATAATGAATGAAGGAATGGAGCAGAAAGATAAAATGAATAAATTAGTAAATGAATAATAAAGCAGAATGAATAACTAAATGAATAATAAAGCAGAATGAATAACTAAATGAATAATAAAGCAGAATGAATAACTAAATGAATAATAAAGCAGAATGAATGAAGCAGAATGACTAAATTAATAATAAATGAATGAATGAAGCAGAATTAATAAATGAATACTTAAGTAAATAGATAATAAATAAACGAATAAAGCAGAGAGAATAAGTAAATCAAGCAATAATAATAAGTATAGGCGACGTAACTCGCTCGTTTAGCCTGACGAGGAGAAGAGCGATCAGCGAAACGTGGTTTGGCATGCGACCTCGAGGCCCAGGTGGGAGGATCCACTTAGATGCCTGCCACACGCTTCCCTCTCGAGCCGCCGCTACTCCAGAGGTCGACCTTGACCCTCCCCCTCCCCCTCCAAGCCGCGCTACCCGCTTTTCCTTTGTCAAAGACCGGGTCCGTGCGTTTGATGTCTTGCAATCAGGGGATCTTGGTGACTATTTGCAACAATTCGTGATTTTTTTCGGAAAAACGATTATTTTTTTCATTCTTTTATGATCGAGCTGACAACTAACAACATTTTTGCGAAAATACAAGGCAACAGTAATTATGATAATAATGATGATGATGATAACAATTATAATAATAATAATATTAATGGCAATAACAATAATTGTAATACTAATAATGATGATGCAGTGCACAAGACCACAGCCAAGAGTTCCATCAGAATCACTGGAGATGCACTTACTAACACAAACATTTACACATTGGCTTGGACATATACGCAAGGGACGTCTTATTACTGCATACTTTTGCACTCTTTGCAGAGAGAGAGAGAGAGATGCAATTGCAGGTATACAAACATACACACACAGTGACAGCAACAGACAAGCAGAAACAAAAGAGAAGGTGGCAGGCAGGGAAAGTAGCAGATAATGAGACACAGAGAGCGTATAGAAAAAAACAGCGTCAGATAGTAGACAGACAGACAGGAACAGAGGCAAACAGGGACAAAGGGGAAACAGAAACAGAGACCGATAGGAGGGAAGAAAAGCAGACAGGAACAGCTGCAAACAGACAACGCGCCGGACCTGAACAACGACAGACAGGGGAATTCGATATCCGAAGACAGCAGCAAACAGAGACACTAAGAGAACGGCAAACAGGGACAGCAGCAAACAAGAGAAACGTCAGACAGCGGCAGACAGGGAAAGCAATAGAGAACAGCGACAGACAGGGCCAATGCCAGACAGCGCTACTGACAGACAGAGGAAACCATAGACAGTTCCGACGGCAGACGAAACCACACACAGACAGGGACAAACACCAAACAGAGCGAACGACAAACAGACACGAACCGGCCCAAAAAAAACAACAGTACCAGACGACCAGAGACAGAGGACCCCCAAAGCCCGATCGCTGTCAGTCAAGAGCAGACAGCAGAGACCCCGCAGGCCGTCGAGGACCCACATGTAAGGATGGAATAATAGGACTAATGACGTCACGTCCGGTTTGCTCTTAAAAAAATGAGAAGAGCAGAGGAGGACGCCGCGAGAGTAGGGGCGGCGCAACACACGTGGGAAAGTTGGGACAAAAGCCGCGCACTTGACAGACGATGGCGGCCTGGGTACGAACTCCCGCTCTCCGAGGCTTCATCTATCTCTCGCTAACTGTCTATCTACCGCTGTCTCTTTGGATATCTCTGTCTATTTATCTCTATCTGTCTATCTCTGTTTGTTTACCTCTATCTATCTATCTCTGTCTATTTATCTCTATCTGCTTATCTCTGTCTATTTATCTCTATCTGTCTATCTCTGTCTATTTATCTCTATCTGTCTATCTCTGTCTATTTATCTCTATCTATCTATCTCTGTCTATTTATCTCTATCTGTCTATCTCTATTATTTGTCTATCTATCGCCGTCTATATGGATATCTCTCTCTGTCTATTTATCTCTGTCTATCTCTTTCTGTTTACTTGTCTCCGACTATCTGTCTGTCTAGCTCTTTCTATATGCTAATATATTAGTCTATCTGTCTCTGTCTATTTTTCTCTGTCTCTCTGTCTATCTGTATCTCGGTCTATCTATCTATATCTATCTCATTCTCTCTCTCTCTCTCTCTCTCTCTCTCTCTCTCTCTCTCTCTCTCTCTCTCTCTCTCTCTCTCTCTCTCTCTCTCCTCTCTCTCTCTCTCTCTCCCTCTCCTCCTCTCTCTCTTCCCCTTGGCGCACATGTCATATTTCACCGAATTAATGTAATAAATGCATTAATTTTTTCATATTTATGCCTCAGGCTGTCCCATAAATCAAGAACATCAAATGAATTATCGTTTTTGTATTAGGTACAGACTGTACTCTCTATAACATGTTTCATACGATTCGCAATCTACCTAACCTACCAACGTCGTTATCTGATTGCCATTGTCACCTGTCACTGTCAAGCGATCGGATGCCATTACTTACACCAACCAGAGGCTATGTATTCATCTGTCTCTCTCTATCTATCTATCTATCTATCTATCTATCTATATATATATATATATATATATATATATATATATATATATATATATATATATATATATATTATATATATATATATCTGTCTCTCTCTCTCATCTCTCTCTCTCTCTCTCTCTCTCTCTTCTCTCTCTCTCTCTCTCTCTCTCTCTCTCTCTCACTCTCTCTCTCTCTCTCTCTCTCTCTCTCTCTCTCTCTCTCTCTCTCTCTCTCTCTCTCTCTCTCTCTCTCTCTCTCTCTCTCTCTCTCTCTCTCTCTCTCTCTCTCCTCTCTCTCTCTCTCTCTCTCTCTCTCTCTCTCTTCTCTCTCTTCTCTCTCTCCCTCCCTCTCTCTCTCTCTCTCTCTCTCTCTCTCTCTCTCTCTCTCTTCTCCTCTCTCTCTCTCTATCTATCTCTTCTATCTATCTCTCTATCTATCTATCTCTCTATCTATCTCTCTATCTATCTCTCTCTCTCTCTCTCTATCTATCTATCTCTATCTATTTCTCTATCTATCTATCTCTCTCTCTCTCTCTCTCTCTCTATCTATCTATCTATCTATCTATCTATCTATCTATCTATCTATCTATCTATCTATCTATCTATCTATCTATCTATCTATCTATCTATCTATCTATCTATCTCTCTATATATATCTTTCTCTCTTATGAATATACGTAGGCTGCGAGAAAGATGAATCATCTTCCTGTTGACAACTGTGGAAAAAAGGTATGAATGGGAACGAGTATCTTCACAATACAAGAGATATATTTGACCGGCTTCGAATATATCTTCGTTAGGAATGCATGACGAAGATATATTCGAAACTGGTCAAATACATCTCCTGTATGGTGAAGATATTCATTCTCATTCATACCTCTCCTACATACACGAAGGCCGCCTTCACACTAGGAGCGAGTGTCCTCACTTCACTGACGAAACATATATCAAATAATGAAGAAAGAAAAAGTTCATTCACGCAATACTGAGTGAGGACACACGCGTAAAACATCTCACACCTGTTCCTACCTGCCTGTACCTGCTCGCTACCTATATGGATGCGGCCTTACGTATATATGCAGATAGATAAATAGATAGGTAGGTAGACAGAGAGAGAGAGAGAGGAGGCGGGAAGGAGACAAGGAAAGAAGGAAGGAGAGTCGGAGAGAGAGAGACAGAGAGAGGAGGACGGGAGGGAGACAAGGAAGGAAGAAAGGAGAAAGGGAGAGAGAGAGACAGAAATTGATACACCGATATTTTTATTTCAATGTTACGTTAAGCCCAGTTAATGCTTCTACAAAGCGTCTTTAAAATAGCCTCGTCGATGTACTTCACCGGATCAATTATTCTTCTGATTGAACTCCTTCCTTGCTGGAAGACTTGTGAGCAACCCTTCCCCTGCCCCCCCCCCTCCCCTTCCCCTCCCCCTTCCCCCTCCCCCCCCCTCCCCCTCCCCTCCCCACTCCCCCTCCCCCTCCCCTCCCTCTTTCCCTTCCCCCTCCCTCCCTTTCCCCCTTCCCCTTTCCCCCCCCCTCCCCCTCCCCCCTCCCCCTTCCCCCTTTCCCTTCCCCTTCCCCTTCCCCCTTTCCCTCCTACCTTCCCCCCTTCCCCTCGCCCTTCCCCTTTTCCCCTCCCCCCTTCCTCCTTTCCCCTCCCCCCTTCGTGCCAGCCATCCTCCGACCATCATCCCGTCCCTAAGACACCCTACTTACTACTTTCATCTACTTTATCCAGCTATGATTTGCGATCAAGTTTGTTATTTTTACCGAGGCTGAGGTGAAACCATCTCACGGCCTTACAAAGTCGATGGTATGGATAGCCTTTTAAACCTTTTACAAAACCAAAGCATAGAATCAAGCAGCTTT